TGGTTTCTTTTTCTTCGCTCCTCCATCTCCATAATCCTTCATGAATGAAATTAAATCTTCCGCAGATTCTATCTTTGACTTTAATTTCAAAGAATGAAATGCGTCAAGAATTTTTCTGTCTTCCTCAGACATAGTCATTTCCTTCACTGACTCTCCTCCAGATGCATTTTCTTTAATAGATGGATCACTCATGTTGAATAGAACAGACGTTAAATTTAAAAAGTCTCAATCTAAGTTGGTTATTTAACGCAATTGTTTTTATTATTTAATGATGTAGAATTGGCTAAGTCGACAACAATTCCCAATCACTATCACTGATCCTATCACTGATACACACAATCAGTATTGCGTTGACTCCTCTTTCGCTAATGTAGTATAGCATTAACTTATTCGATGCAATGTGTCACTATCATATCAACACATTTCAGATATTCTCTAAGTAGTTTCAACACTTAATTCAATATTGCGTCAAATTCACTATTTTCAATTCAACTCCTTTCCATATATGATTCATATGATATTTCAACTTCTTTCTTATATTATTTACTGTCTCCTCTCAACTATTTGTAGACTATTTTCATTCACTCTGAGTTAGATCACTTTGCTATCCACTTAATTTCAATCAATTGTCATTCACCTTTAGTTAATTCAGTCTGCTTCTAACTATCTTCAATCCAATTCTAATGTCTACCTCCAATCACTTTCATATACAAGTTTATTCAATACTGTTTTCTATCCAATGAAATCAAACCAATTTAATTTAATTCACTGAGTTAAGTCAGTATGTCGACAACTCACTTCGGTTTTAATTCAATTTCTAATAATAGTATCAATTTGTTAACTCAATTCTCATCTGTATAATTTTATTCAAAGTCAAAGTTACTGTAGAAATACAGCTGTGTTCACTTAATACAGTTTGCCGCTCACTTTCACACGAAGTTACTTTCTTTTGCCGCTATCTGATATATACTTAATTCAGTGTACCACTTAATACAGTTTGCCGCTCACTTTCACACGAAGTTACTTTCTTTTGCCGCTATCTGATATATACTTAATTCAGTGTACCACTGATATATTCACTTTAAAGTAGTTTGTCAATTACTTAACGCCACATATATGTCAACCTAACATTTAATTCAGTCTAGTCATAACTCAAAATATCTCTAAACACTTCTCGTTCAAATTAAGTTGACATTCACTAGCACATTTCACATCTATAAGACTCACTCTTATTCAAACTTATCATTCCATTCACTGTAATGTGTCTCACAACTCAAATAGTTACCTCTTTATTGCACTAACTATTCACTGTATGCAACATGTACATAAACTCCTTTAATATGATTTGTTATGTAATCTTCTGATCCTTTTTATTTCACTGTACATGTATCACAAAGTTCAACTTCACATAAGCTGAATAGATAAATATCTAGTTAATTCACTCTTGCATAAGTTCACCTATAACTTAACTGAATCTTCAAATTCAATTCCATTTACATTCAAGCTATTCTTCCGATCATGTATATCATTCATGTATAACTGATATATAACGGTTTCAGTTTTTCACTAGTAGTTTCACATAACACACTTTTGCATTAACTTTCACTTTCAATCTATCTATGGTACATATTTCAATTAACTACAACTTCCAACTTTCTTTCAATTCAACTATAAGGTCCCCCGTTGGGCGCCATTTGTTACCTTTGGGTATTTGCAGTTAAATTAAAGTAACAACAAATCCAAATAGGTTTTGGTTCGTATGATATATAATTTATTAAAAGTCTCCACTGTCACTGTGTAATCTGATATTAAAATCACAATTAATATAATAAAACCACTCTACTGTTATTCAAACCAGAAAGTTCCTTTCAGGTATACTGTCATAACACAGTTCCACCACTTGTTGCTCGCAATCTCAAATGATCTGAATCAACAATAGTTAACAAGTCTGCACACTGAAATATACATTAAATGGTCACTAAAATGTATATCATTTAATGTTATACTTTTCCAGGTTATCTCCCTTCAATCTACATTATTACATATAAAACACATCTTCATCATAATAATTCAATACACAGTATTGATACTTATTATTAAGTGGTTCTAGTGGCGTTCATGTATTACATATATTATGGATGCCTTAATAATAATATCATCAAGTTACATAAAATACATGACATTTACATTAATATACAATAATTACAATAAATATATGATTATCTTTAAAGTTTACAATAATCACTTAGGCACAATTACATACTATTACAATATACAATTATGACTTTACCAATTTGTGGAATTGTATGCTTTACAATCAACATATCAAAACACGCTAACTACAATGTACACCTGGCAATCAATACACATCATTGCACACAGTGACTGGTGCTGTAAATTATGTAAAGAAAGAATGCATATTATATATAACAATGTGCATCATAGATATGAGTTAAGTGATGTTAAATAAGGAATGCTATTTCTGAACCATCTCAATTCTTTACACAAAAGGGATAATCTAAACACATGAAAATCATGAATTTACTTTTTTCCAAATAACATAAAATATTGTTTTACATGGAATATAGAAGTTATTGTCCTACAATGATCTTTAAAACATACCATAAATATTAATCCAATATCCTTAAAACATATTAAAATATATCTGGCCTCCAAAATTCAACTTTTCTCAAACTTTAAACTTTTAACTCACTCAAAAGTCATGAACTCAATACACACTTGGAGGGAAATTCAAAACGATGATCTGATTGGCTAAAAATGATACAAGGGAAGTAACTGGAATGAACTCAACTTAGTTCAATGCACGAAAAGATGACCCTGTTACATAGTTCTTACTTTTTATGTAAATATTACAGCCCGTGCAGCTGCAAAACCGAAAGTAGAGTGTTTTTATGAATGTTACATTTATTTTTGACAATATACTGCCATTTGTCCGAAAATGACATGTATATGAACATAATAAATGTATGATGCATATATAATCAAGCCACAGGTTCATTTCAGCCCGAAAAATATGTCGAGGTGACGGGCGAGGCAAAACATGTCGACTTTTTGTAGCTTATTGTGAAGTTGCAGTACATGAAAATCGGGCACATGACAATTCAGCACATAAATAAAACATTCTAGTGCTCCGTGGTATACATCTTTCTCTACGTGTCATACCTCCTTTCCTTATTACAATGAAACTTTACTGCATTGTTATCCATCGCTGGTTTGTTTTTCAGAGAATGACCTGTGCATGTTCAAAGAGGGTACCGTTTAAGAATATTTCGCAAAGAGGGTACCAGTATGGATATGCACCGTGATATTGTCTGATTTACCTAGACAGAATGCGGGAATTAGCTATTGCAAAACACGTGACCCGAAAATGTGTACCGCTACCTCTTCCAAATATGGTTATACACATTTAGGCTATCGTGTGACGTCACGCAGTGTGTTGGGCGGAAAAAAAATGGGCGGAGCACTAAGCCGGTTAGAGTGCATATATTGGATGTTCTTCGTAAATAAGAAACCTACAGTCGCTTCGCAAGCTCCGCTCCTTTTTAGCTTTCTTATTTACGAAGAACACCCAATATGCACTCTAACCTATACTAAGCAGAGCGTCATTTACGGTGATTTATTTATTTATGTGTAATACATGCCACTGAAGAAGGTCTGTTCACAAGAAGCTATCATTTATAAGAATCTTATACATGATTAGTTAACATTTTAAACAGTAGTGTGTCAAGGAGAAAAATGGTTTATCAGGTAATAATCATCAAGATGAATGTAAAAAGATTAAAGATTTAGAAACTATATGATCGTATATAACTTTCTAGAACACCATTAGGAAAATAAAGAACCGCTCGAATAACCATTTATAGATGCTGGTAGTTAGTTATGAAAATTGTAAAAACATATCCACCACATAAATATATAACAAGAAATAATTCAATCAATTTTGCTATAAGAGAAATCACAAAGTGATAACGAACAATTGATAATGATTATGACTGTAGTGCATCTCAGTAAAACAGATGAAAGCAACACTTAAAAAGCGCCTCTTATGTACTCTATTTAGGCCAACAAATAGTACGATTAATAAATGCTACACTGATGTGGCAACAGACTATCGGTATATATTAAGAATTTCATTATGTACGCCCTGGCGGCCGGCAAAGTCAATTGTCCTTATTGCCGTGGTTGTCCCGTAGCCTGTACAGACAAGAATTAAGTATGTAAATATCATACAGACAAGTTAAAAAATGCTTCATATAAAAACGGACAAGTAAGTCAAAATCTGATTTTGCCGGCCCTGCACCGTGTAATTCGATGAACTATTGTCATTATCAGATCTTGATCTTAACATATAGTTGAGACCACTTTGCTAGGCATACGAGGACATTATGCCGGCAACGTCATTACGGACAAAATGGACTTTAATTCTTACTATCGGATCGTATATTTGTATATTTTGAACTTAAAGTATCAAAATATAATGTATGTTTTCTTCTCTAATTGTATAAAATATTTGATATTCACTTTTTAAATGCTTAGGTATTTTTATTTTGTCTCTTCAACAGGGATGTGTTCCTTTTTAACAAACTTAATGTTTCAGGACTTCCATTGTAAAATAATTATAAAAAATATTAAAAACACTGATGTTATTATTACATTAATTTTGATGGTGTTTTTTTTGTTTAATTGGGTTATTATAAGAATATCTTTATATGGAACTTTGTATTTGGCGAGATTTGAGACTTGATTTTAATAGGTAACGGTATTACAAGACCGATAATTGTAGTTAATTCCATGAAAGCCACATACATGTACAAGCAATTTGGCCATGACGTAATGGTATTATGGAAGAGGAGACCGTTGGCATTGTCCACTTTTTCTTTTTCTAAAACGGGATAGATATAAAACTCATTCTAATTATGTACTTTTGCACTTATACTTACACAATAACATTTGATTGAGTTCCGTTAATTTATTGCAAGGAATGGTGGGGAATGAATGATCAGATCAAACAGGAAGCAGAAGAAATTGGTGAGATGGGAAAGTTTGTTACATTGGTTCCCGACCTTTATAGGGGCAAGATAGCAACTGACACGGAGCAAGCTGGGCACTTGATGGGTGAACTTGATTGGCCAGGAGCTGTCAAGGATATCCAAGGAGCTGCCAAATATTTGTTAGAAAATGGATGTACCAAGGTGAGAAGGAGTCTAGCTTTTACATTGTAGTAAGCATTGCGTCTTTTCAATCTTAAAAATTACGTTTTTTCCTATTTTAGATTTGCCTTCATATATATCAGAACGGTATTATGAAATATAAGAAAAAAGCCGAAGTTGGGGAAAAAATGTAATAACATTTGTATTGTTTTCTTCTTGAGGGAGTGAATGTAGTCAGTAAAAACAAAACAGTATATGTTACAATGTCAAACGCTTTGTGTAACAAACGGAATTTGAAATAACTTGAAGATACTTTGATGGATACCCTTGTGGACTGTTTGCAGACTTTTTTTACTTTGTTAAGATGTATGGTTGTCATAAAGCTATGGAGGGCGATCGTTGCCAAAATTCCAGACATGTAATGTGTTCCTTTTGAAAACTACTTTTGAAAATGCGAACATGTATGTCTAGCATTTTTTATTGCATTCGTGCACAGCAAATGATATGCCTCTTAATCCAATCTTTTAATTGAAGGCACCCGCTTTTAAATAACACGTTTATATGTAAATCTTAACAACTGACCTAACATGGAGAACAACAACACATTTACAAGTTCGTATCTACAATTACATATAATACATAAGCATGTTTACACACTTGTAGATATATATCTGTACCTGAAAAACACAAATGAAATGTAAAACTCGAATGCAGAAAATATAATTTAATAAAACGTGTTCCAGTCGTAGAACTACAACAGTACGTTTACACAGTTACATGTTTAAAATGACAAAAGTAGATTCACAAAGTTAGACGATTCTAAGTCATGCATGACGCCCCGCCTCTCTCATGGTATTTGCGATCTTCTATCATGGAAATGTACGGACAGGTATAATACCCGTCGCCTCACTCCTATTTCTCAATAAAGTGAAGGAAAACACGGCGTCCATTCTAACTTTTTTATTTCTATAAAAAGTCCAATATTATTGGTATCAAATGAAAGATTACTCCATAAGCGTTTTATGAGTGCCTCGGAAATAAAAATGAATTAAATAGATGTATGGAATTTTTAGTTTTTTTTTACTCTGAAAATAACACTCTCGAGAATTGGTAAGAAAAACACGGCGTTCCCTCCAAACTTTTTTTTAAGTTCGTAATATATTTTTGATAATTTTGGATTGAAAATAAAAAGTGTGCTTTCATACGATTTATGATATATAATTATATAATGCCTAAAAAATAAAAATGAATTAAATCAAACTGAATTAACTTTCGTTAAAAAGTTTCATGTACTTTTTGTAAAATAGAGAAAATAAGAATCCCTAAAGAACGCTCACAAAACGACAAAATTGAGAATGTTGCAGGCCCGGTTTGATTGAGCCTGCTCATGGACGGTAATGGAAAGAGCAAGTTATCGTCCACGCCCCCTAGCACCGGCTTAAGCAAAATTCAACATGAACTGGTAAAATTTTGAAACATCCGCAGATGTGTTAATATGGCGATTATCATGGAGCCTTCAATGTGACACGTAAGTGCCATACCATGAAAAACGGCATATGATCCCCAAGTAAAAAAAATTACACTCTGAAATTCAGTAAGAAAAAAACATGGCGCCCCCTTCTTACTTTTTTTATTTCTTGGTCAATTTTGATAATAAACAAGATCATCAAGGAAAGGCGGCGGAAAATTACATAAGAATTGCAGATTCGGTTTGATTGAGTCTGCACATGAGGGATAATGAACAAGTGACGATTATCATGCAACCTTCAATGTGACACGTAAGTGACACGCCCCCTAGCACCGGCTTGAACGGTACTCAATTCTAAACACTTAATAGCGCTGGCATCAATGATCCCGAATGACCAGAAAAACACTGAAGTGAAGTACGGGGCAACTTTTTTACAACTGCCACACGCACTGGCAACCTGCTGTTGTGAAGTATTAAAATCTGGAAACAAAAAGATTTCCTCGGAGCATTAATCACTACAAAATTACGTAAGAATTGCAGACTCGGTTTTGATTGAGTCTGTACATGAGTGGATATATATAATGAACAAGTGCAAAAAGTTTTATTCATACTGAAAATACCGTATTAAAGATTGTACATATGTGCTACGGATAAGTATTTTCTTGATTTCGGAAAGGAAATCTCGGTGGCCGCTTTAAAATCCTATTTTTGCAATACTTGCATAGTTTTTGTTTGAAAGTGAGAGAAATGTTGGGCCAACACATTTTTTCAATGATACCAATAAGAGTATTGGATGTTTTAAATTATCAATAAAATTACTCCCTTGAAGTTGGTCATTGTTTCTCCTAAAAATTTCCAAATCGCCGATGTTTCTCAGGAATAGATGATAAACAAGATCAACAAGGAAAGGCGGCGCTCAATGAACGCAACCCTACATGACCAGCAACAAGAACTAGTGGCAAGAAGCCCAGGCGCGTCCCCAAACAAAACACATGGCCAGGGCACTAGGCATAGCACAGGGACAGGCTAATCACTAAAATGATAAATAATTTAATTGTAACTGATAAGAACACGATGTTAAATAATAAGGTAAAGCACAAGTTATCTTCATCATAAATGGTAAATCAGCAATTTTCAAGCGATGTTGCTAGTGACAAAACTTTTTGTAACAAATGCAACATATATATGTTTATGAAAAATGCCGTATGTTGTCCTTTAGTTTTATTTAAAAAAATATGGGAGAGGCGCCGTTTATACCTGTCCGCAATAGAAGGTCGTAAATACTCCGAGAGGGGCGGGGCGTTATGCTTGACTTAAAAATCGTTTTAACTTTGTGAATCTACTTTTGTCATTTTAAACATGTTACTGTGGTTAACGTACTCTTGTAGTTTTACAACTGGTAACACGTTTTCTTAAACTCTATTTTCCGTATTCGAGTTTTACATTTCATTTGTATATTACAGATCTATAAGTGTGCAAACATGCGTATGTATTGCATGCAGTGGAAGATACGAACTTGTAAATTTGTTGTCGTTTTAGATGTTAGGTCAGTTGTTACGATATATATGTAAACTTGTTATATAAAGGCGGTAACCTTCAATGAAAAGATTGAATTAAGAGGCATACAATAAAAATGGTAGGCATACAAGTTCGCATTTTCAAAAGTCATTTGAAAAAGGAACACTTTACATGTCTGGAATTTTGGCAACGAACGCCCTCCATATAAAGCAACATGTTTAATTGAAAATATACATACTGGGATCCTTGAAGACCCTGTATGTTGTAATTAAGGTTGTTACCACACTGAAGTGAAATTTTATATAATATGACTATGTATAAAGTTATGCTTCTTAAACAATAATCAAACATTGAAATATATGTAAAATGTGTACTGCAAATAATTGTTCACATTATACGTACTGATGTAATCATTAAAATATATGCATAAAATATATTCATTTCTTATTGAAAAACTTGATTTAGACTTAATAGAAAATTAACTCCTTTATTAACATAAAATGTAAATTCGGTAAATAAATATCTTTACAAATAATGCTTTTTGGAACTTACGCCATTGATAAATCTTCAACGCCATTGATAAATCTTCATTTGAGGATTATATTTATGCTATAAAACCATACAAAAATTGTGTTACAGGGTCTTTAAGTAATTTTTGAAAAGTGATTTTCCAGCGATAAAAAAAAAAAAAAAAAAAAAAAAAAAAAAAAAAAAAAAAAAAAAAAAAAAAAAAAAAAAAAAAAAAAAAAAAAAAAAAAAAAAAAAAAAACAGAGTGGAGATAATAATTTGTCATTCACGGGAACTCCAGTCACTTTTTACGGGAATTGTGGAACTGGAAGTTAATATTCAAGTTCTGCGTACCCATTTCATGAAAGGTCTGACCTAATAATTTGTATGCAAGATTTCTGATTATTCGCCTCATTCCCGTTTTCAAAAAAATGATCGTTAATTCCGTTTTTGCTGTTTACTTTTCTCCCGTTTTTCACTGTTTTTTGGTTTTACAGACACTCAGACTGCACTTTAAAGGCCATCAAAACAAACTCTGTATTTATTGTTTATAAAATATATATATTCATAAGAAACTCATGCATGGATATAATTTCATAAATTACATAAATTAAGCAAAAATGAAAATAATTTTAATTGTAAAGTTTGGGGATTTGTGGTTGCTGACAATAACAAACAAAACAAAAACAAAATAAAAATATATAAATAAACAAAACAACTATACAACCAAAAAACAAGTATTTTGTAAACGTCTTTATGTGACTTATGTCCCTTCCTCGATGATCTTTGTTTTCATTTTTTTTTTAAATATTTAATGCCACTTGTTAAATCATTAAAAATACCTTTACTGAGTATTTTAGCAATATCTGAGATACTCCTTTGTAAATAAAGAAAAGAAGGCAAATGTGTGAATTACAATGATCAAACTACAGGCCTGTCAGTAACTTATCGTTTCTTTCAAAATTGATAGAAAAGGCTGCGCTCTTCAGACTAATTTAAATAACCATGTCGATACCCATAATTTGTTACCCAAAAATCAATCAGCATACGGACGTCATCATTCATGTGAGACTGCTTTACTCAGACTTGTCAATGATCTTCTAGACGGTATGGAGAAGCAAGAGGTGACAGCTCTAATTGCAAATAGATCTAAGTGCAGCTTTCGACACCCTTGACCACAACATTCTACTCGACGTGTTACACAGTCAGTAGGGTGTCAATGGTACCGTGTTAGCAAGGGTGGACTCGTACCTGCGACATCGTAGTTGTCGCGTCAGTGTTAGTTCTACTGAATCGACACCACGATTGCTGGAATGCAGTGTACGTCAGGGGAGCTATCTTGGTCCGTGGCTCTATCTCACATATGCGGGAACCCTATTTGATGTGATACCAACAACCATATCTGTGTACGGCTTTGCTGATGACCACATTGCTAGTCAACGCTTTCGACCAACTTCAGTGACCAATGAACTTAACGCTCTAAAGCAACTTGAAGACAGTGCTGTAATCATCAATGACTGGATGAATGCCAATAAACTCAAAATGAACACCACTAAGACAGAATTCATTATGTTTGGTAGTAAAGCCCAACTT